CAGTTCTGACTGTTCCTTCCGAATATCATTCTTCCCCACATGGATGATAATCCGTTTTGCAGTACTGTGCTTTTTCAGAATTTCCTCAAGTTCTTTATTTACATTAGAAACTGTTGCATGAGGAAAGCAGTATGTCATTGTAGATCTGCTCCTGAAATTCTTGATTATTGAATCTCCCACGACTAGTGTTCTTATCTCAGGTGTGATCGGAGCAGAATGTCGCTGTCTAGTCGGCCTTGAGCCTCTGTTCCATGCAGAATTAGTTGCTGAATCATGCGATCTCTGTCTGACTGCATTTGGGGATTCTTCACCCATATTACTTAAAACTTCATATCTGTTCTGAAGCTGTATTTGAGTCCGAGCTGTATTTGGGGTAGAAGAAGCTAATGCAGCAGCATATGATCTGACCCCGCGAGTACCCTTTGGTCTCGCACCTTATTTATGCCAATGCTCATTTTCAACAGTTTTTTTCTGTTTTTCTGTGCTCAAAACAGTAGCAGGAACAGATTTATGGGACTCACCGGCTGTGTGCTGAGAGGATCCACAATGAAGCTGAAGTTCTGGTCGGATCGCAAGCAACTTCGTTTCAAGAACTGCAATCCTTTGTAGAAGTTTGTGGCAGTTTGTACAGCAGTGAGAATCTGAATTAATCCGATCCAGAGGCATTTTCACAGCCGTGTTTTCCCGTCTCCGGAATGTAAGCAGCTGGTAGCAGGAGGATTGTTTAGACGGTAATTCCCCTCTTGTTAGTAAAGCTATATTCCAGAATGTTTGTAAAATCGATGCTGATCTTCAAGCTGTGTTTTTTGAGCACTGTGCTGATAGGCTCAAGTTAAAATTAGGGTATAAGATATAAAAGCAAGAGTGCAAAGAGCGGAGCAGTAGGCAAAGACGTCCAAACAGTAGCAAAGCAGGAAGTGAAGCTTATATAAGACAAAACACCACAATCTGTCATCATTTTTTATTTATACAAATATTCATCTGTACACATTCATCAAGAGCATAAATTCATTCAACTCTTCTATACACAGTATACTTAAACACACAGAGAGAACATTTAAATTATAGGCAAAAATTGTGAAAACCATTTACTCAAAAAATAAAACTGTGGAATATTAAATACATTTGTGTATTTGTGTTCTATTTCAACATGTATTTTACATTAGAAAAAAAATGCATTTGATTTCAGATGTGCATAATAACACTTTACAATTAGAGTCAAAATACAGGTTTAAATCACAATGCTTAAGCTGTTTAAAGAACAACTTTATTGAATTAAATGAGAAAGATACAGTATGCCTATCACAGAAACTAAAATGCAGATGCAACCATAGAAAAAAAAATATTCTGGCTGGATTAGCAGGTTCAATAAATAAATGAATTAATTAGAAACAAATTAATTTTTAGGTGGTGTGAAACTGTGTTTTCCAGAAATACGAAGTATTAGTGACCCAGAGACTTGTCTGGGAACAAGCTTGAAAGATTACTGTAATAAATTACATTTTTCATGCTTTGTTTATCCTCCACAAATAAACAGGTAGCACATCATAATAATAATATAGATTAACTTGCACGCATATCCACATTAATAATCTGTGACAAATTATACTGTAGATTAAAGTGTTCGCATATCTACACCATTATTACAGTAGTAAATTAGCTCAAGGTTGTTCTTCCTGCGCCTTTTCCACCGTTATAATGTTGTGAGTTATGATTTAGATTTCAAGGCTCGTGTACCTTCTGGAACATTATATAGCGGGCTAGCTTAGCGGGAGGAAGATTCATTTAAACGGGGCTTCAAATGAATCGACTCTTTTGATCCGAACAAACGAATCGTTCAGCGATGCTATCAACAAAAAATTTGAGCAGGGTAGCAAGATCAAAGTTCAAGACATTAGATTCATTAATATACACAGGCACCTTTCTTTATACAAAATTAAACTTTATTGACTAATCCAACAGAAACTAACACCTAACACAAACACAATTTCATACAAGCATAGGGGAGAGTAACAAACGTGAAGAGGTTGAGAAGATGTAATGATGGGAAAAACCTATGAGTCTGTAAGAACAAACCAAGCAACCAAACGTAATCAAATTCAATATAACCCTTCTATTGTCTCTTTAGGGTTAATTTAGTTCACACCAGTTTAGATGTTGGGAGAAAGGTGATACTTGCGGTCTGTTCGTGATGTCCGAACTCCCGTTGTTGAGCATGTTGTTGGTTGGCTGATCCTTTGTTGGTTGACGCCGCAAAAGTTCTGAACAGAAAAATGTCTGAGCGTGGTGCGATTAACCCTTTCCGTCTGGGTTTCTGCCTGCTTTCTTGAAGGTTTCAATACTTAGGTTTGTGAGGAAGTTGCTAAGTTTGAAGAAGGTTTCAAAACAACGTGTTTCCAGAGCAGAGGAGGAGGGGGGAGGAGGGGGGGTTGGGGTTGCCTGGAGTTGGGAGAGAGAGGGGGAGCTTCCAGGCAGCGTGTTTGAAGAAAGGGTCCCAACAGAGGTCCCAGGAGAGTTTGAACAGAGAGAGTGCGTGCGAAGAGGGGGAGTTTAGCTTGGTCTTCAACATTATAGGGTAGGTTCGGATCCACCCTCCATGGAAAGTTGACCAATAAGAAGCTAACTTCCTGGAATATTAAATTTATGGGTCTTTGTCCGAGGCAGAATAATTTGCATAGGCAAATTTTATGTAAATCGGGACAAAAAATTTTAAAGTCTCTTAAAACATTAATATGTTGCACTCATATTAAAATAAAATGTCAACGATCAATTTGTACAGCAAGTAAGCTTTTCGAAAAGTCCAAACTTGAACAGTATAGGAGGTTGTTTAGCCTAGGAACCGTTAAAAAATTATATGCAGGGGTATTAAAACCAAAAATATTAATACAAGAGAAAGGGAAACTTTGCAAAACATATGATTAAACATATAGAGTAAAGTTTATATGAAAACAGTGTTAAACAAGCAGTTTAAATAGTCCTTTGTAAGTCATTCCTGTGCCTAGTGCCGCATGGCACATTCCTTTGGGTCGTAAATACCTTGGAATCAGGTTTCGAGCCTTCTCTGGGCAAAGTTGGCTGGTTGTATAATAAAATGCAAAATGTTTATGTGTCTGGTCCACCATATTCGTTACAGGTGCAATAACACTAAATGATCTGCCCCCATTGAAGAGAGGCGGTACCGAGGGACAGCGAGAAGGCCAGAGTCAGCAGAACGTAAAGAAAGAGTTGGAGTGTAGGGGACAAGCATGTTGCAGAGATAGGAGGGTGCTAGGCTATTTAGGGATCTAAATGCAAGGAGAAGAATTTTGAATTTAAAATTAATAGCCTGGCTCATCATGTGTTTATTAAAGTGTGATGAGTTGCTGAAACTCTTCCTACACTGAGTGCATGTGAATGGTTTCTCTCCAGTGTGAATCCTCATGTGTAGACTAAGAGATGATGAGCGGATGAAACTTTTCCCACACTGAGTGCATGTGAATGGTTTCTCTCCACTGTGGATCCTCATGTGCTGATTAAGGGATGATGATTGGCTGCAATTAAACACATTGTGCTGTTTTTAAATGAAGGTTTTTATACTTAAAAGGAAGACAAAGTACTGAACAACATAGCCTTGTGTGAAAATGTTTTTCCTCATTAAAACATAACTTTAATTTCTCACACCGGCTTTCTTTAGCCACACCCAGACCTGATTACTACCACACATGTTCGTAATCAAAAAATCACCTAAATATGACCTGTCTGACAAAGTGAAGTAGTCCAAAAGAGCCTCAAAAGCTAGACATCATGCCAAAATCTAAAGACCTTTACACTACTACTCAAATGCAAAAAAACAAGTGTTTGAGGAGTGAGTCCTGGAAAAAGCAAAAGTCAAAGTAAACATCCGATCAGGTGAGCACTAAGGAAGTGCCATGGGAAAAAAACAACCAAACACTCACTCACTAGCGTTCCTGGACACAAATACAGGGTTATAAACCCTGACAGCGCCAACTGTCGAATTGAATCAAGGATGCGCTAATGGACGACACGGATGACAAGAAGGAAAGTGTAAGTACGGATTTTCTATTAAGTTTTATTTTAAACTGTTAAAGTATGTTTTTATTTTGTAATGCTGCTGTTTTATACTGTAAAGTTATGCAGAAATGCCAGATTAGCCTGCATGATTTACCCCAACGGTCTGGGGACTGGGACAAAAATGTTACGTGACGAGTTTTTTTTTCCAGAAGAATAAAATATGATAATAATAATTATGGATAATTTTACACAGCCAGAGTAAGAGCTGCTATAACTGTTAATAATTTTCTAGAGTTCGTTTTCTAGTTTGATTAAATGCTACGACGATCGTAGTTCGTGACAATGGTTTATTGAAACATTGTTTTAATGGCTTGTTGACTTAACGGCGGTCTAATACGCTTAGTGACACATGCATTAAACTAAGATGGTAAAAGCACGTTGATGTGAGAGTTTCAGATTTATCTATATTTTGTTATATTCGTGTAAAAACCATTACTCAACGTTGTATTACATTAGCACATTAAAAATTGTGCTGACTGCCTGTTAGCCCCACAATGTGTTATTAGCCTGATGTTTTGTCATCGTTTTACAGTGATGAATGAGATGTTTGACGGTTTTAAAAGTTAGGCTTATTCTGCAGGCCTTAACCATATAAAGTCTCATATCTTTAATGTATATCAGGTATGTTTTACCTGGCGAATAAGAAGTGATGGCCAATATGATTGGATTGCCTAGGCCCATTGTAGGAAGAAAAGAAAACAAACTACAGGAATATTTTCATTGAGGTTATCGCAAACTGTTGAGTTACACTTTATAACATCTGCATACTATAAATAATTTATTAAGCATTTAATAACTAGTTAATTTATTAATATTTTATTTGTTTAGCATTAACTCACATTTAATAGACATTGATAAGTAGTTTATTAATACAGTTACAAATGCTAGCTGTGTTCTTGAGTTTATAGCATATCTATGATAAAGTGCAGCTTATCTGTGGTGTTCATTTTCCAGAGGAATGTCTGGCCAAATAAGTATATAAACTGCATGCTGGGTGCTACTCATTTATGAACCCATGTAAAATGATTTGCTGTTCTGTGGTGGTATTTTAGTCCATATTTAAATGATTTTATTTTATTTTTTTCATAGGACATCGTACATGCTCTGGGTGTCTTGAGGAGCTTGTCTTTGGATGATGCTGAGCAGGTCTTTCTTTCTGGTAACGGTTATCATTACAGGTCAGAATATGGTTAATTTTGCACAATGCTCAAAGAGCCTTTTTGTTACTGGTATATATGTTAACTCAACAGTGATTGTTCTCTATTGCAGTGAAGTAAAAGAATTTAACAGACAGATTGACAAACAACTGACGAAAGAAGAGAGACCATTCAATAGGTGGGTATTGCTCTTATATACTAAAAAATATGGAGTTGGCAGTAAGGTTTCCTGTTTGGTTCTCCCAACAGTGCATATATATATATGTGTGTGTGTGTGTGTGTATATATATATTATAGCTAACACTGTAAAGCAAATGTTTGTTATTATACCACTTATATTAAATATTAATCTAAATTTAATTGCATAACAATTGATTAACCTTTTGAGTTTATATACATGATTTTACATATTCAAGAATATCTATATACATTCATTTTTCTTTTCGACTTAGTCCCTTTATTTATCAGGGGTTGCCACAGCAGAATGAACCGCCAACTTATGCAGCATATGTTTTACACAGTGGATACCCTTCCAGCCGCAACCCAGTACTGGGAAACACCCATTTACACTTATATACTTGAACATGGGGAGAACATGCAAACTCCACACAGAAATGACCACTGGCCCAGCCGGGGCTTGAACCAGCAACCTTCTTGCTGTGAGGCGACGGTGCTAACCACTGTGCTGCCCCATGTGCTCTATGTGGGTGAGTGGGATTGACAAACCACCTGGAGGACACACTCTTGCTGTCTTAATGCACCAGACATTTTGTTATAAATAATCATGTGCGTTTCATGTTTATTTATAAAACTGCTAATTTATCTCATAGCACTTCATTTTTGTCTTTATATTTAATATCTTTTGTTTAAATACACTATGAACAGCAGCTGCGCTAATTATTTTCCTTGTTCCCTATTTCCACCTGGGGATATTTATCTAGAGGCCTCTAGAGATCGTGACCTGTGAAGAGATGATGCCACCATAGAGGACTTCTAGATGTATCCATAATCCTGGACCAGACCGTATCATGAGCAGATGCAGTGGTGGTCATGGAGAAGTGGAGAGCATGAGACTGATTAATGAAAGACCCCAGCGACAGATGAGTGCCCACATTGATCCTGTGGTCCAGCCTGAAAACCCGCTGGTGCCCTACTCACACCAGCAGCTTCTCCACGATGGATGCCCAGTGTTCTTCAGCCTCCAGCGCTTAGACTGCAGCTCTGCACGTGAAGTGTGGCCAGAAGAGAAATGGTTGTGCCCAACTGAGCCTGGTTTCTCTCAAGGTTTATTCCTTCACTTTCATCAATTGGTAAAGTTTTGTTCCTCCACTGTCGCCATTGGTTTGCTTGGTTTAGGACTTGTGGAACTGTGCATCGATGGATTTGCTTTTCAGTGTTTGGACTTTCAGCAGTGAAAACTAAACCACACTGAACTGAACTGAATTTAATAAATGTTAAGCTGCTTTGACACAATCTACATTGTAAAAGTGCTTTAGAAATAAAGATGAAATTAATTGAAATTGAATTGAATATTCAACACGTATCCATTTTTCTCAGAAAACATATTTTTAAAGGTGCTGTTGACATGAAATTTTCACCAGATGTTGATAACAATTTGTAAAGTAATTAGATTTGTTTTCTATTCATATATTTTTTTCTTTGGTTTTCAGGTCAATAGCACCTTTAGAAATATGTTTTCTGAGACAATTAGAAACGTGTTGAATATTTATTTACCCTACTGTGTGTATGTATGTATATATATACATATATATATATATATATATATATACACATACATACATACATACATACATATACTTGAACTCTCTTCTTCTCTCTCATTCACAGGAATAAAAAATTGAATGCAGCAACTGAATAAACAGTGGGGTCATTTTTGTGGTTGAATTGCATTAATACAGAAAGACTGTGTGGATATTTATATAAATGTACATTCTTCAATCATTCTTGTGTCTTGACTCTCTAAAACCTTTACAACCTGGTATTAAATTAGTAACTGCAAATGCTGATCCCATTTGATTTCAATTTATTTTCCCTAATACTGAGCCAATTAGTTCAATGTAATGGGGTTCATCAATATACAGTATTTTTCAAGGAATTTAAGACTTTTAAGGCACTCAACTCTATTTATTCATTTATATTTTAGGTGTAAATTCATTTGTTTCATTTTAAAATTGTTATTTAAAGCAGGCGTTTTACACTTTAACCTCTGGAAAAAAGTGCCTGAAAACGGGTCCTAGAAATGCAGTTTCACTATGTCATCCAATCCGGTAGGTGGCGCTTCCGCAAAAAACTAGGGTCCTAAAAATGCGGTCCTAAAAATGCGGTCCTGAGAGCGCAGCTACTCCAGTTGTGCAGGATCATACTATTGCCTGCTTTAGGGACTCTGGCTATACACAAACTCCTGTTAAACAACACTTTTGGGACTCTGTTAAACTATGATAAAATGACCTTTTTTTGGACACTTTGGGAGAAAAAAAAGCACAAACTCAATCTTGTAGCAAGTAAACATTTTGCAGACAGGCACGCGCTAATGGTGGATCTGCGTGAACAGATGCGCAGAAGTCCTAATCTACATTTGCTGACAGACAGCCTGACCTGCTTATCAGAATTATGGGAGATGACGGTCCGCCTCTATTTAATTTGATGAACATTTTTTAGTTTTATGCTTTACCCAGAATATAAAAATACAAGTAACACATTCAGATCATTTACTGTTATCATTACTATGGGACTGTGAAGAGACTTTCAACCAGCACAACAAAAAATGTTTCTGAAGACAATCACCTACTGCACCTTTAAACAACTCAATTAAATAACAGCATTAGCAGCTTCACTGATTACAGTTTGACTTCATTTCTGTAAAAATATTTGACAATGAACAGAGGTTTATATTTTTTTATTAAAAATATTTAATTTGCTCACCATCATGGAGATCAGAGGCTGCTTAGTTGAGCTCTTGAAACTTTACTCTTCTATTTTAATGTGTTTCTAAAACATATCAGTTATAACAAGAAATGTCATGAGAAACTATATTGTTTGTGTTTAAATTTTATAGATATAATTTCAGGTGATAAATAAGTAAATTAATAAAAAAATGCAAACATGTTTGTATTAAAGCTGTATGGGACAAAACTGCTGGCAGTCTGCTGCTTTTCATAAAGGTTCAACAAACAATTAGGATGCAATTAATAATTAAAGTGTTATGCACTAAACCATCGAGCTCAAGCAGCTCATTATGACACACAGACATCAAGAATCAGGATATGAACCTTAACCATGGTTGCTAAAAAGAAAAAAGCTGCATAGTTCATGCCGCAATGCATGCTGGGTGCCACCATAGTACAAAGCTCCTAGCATGCATTGCAGCATGAATAAATTATGCAGCTTTGTTCTCACAATCTTTCTTTTCCTTTATTTTGTGTTGTTTTTGGGAGGTAATGTTTCAGTAGAGTGTTTTGTTGTGTTCTGGGTTGTTTTTTTAATAGATTTTTTTTTGTCACCATTATTGAGATTCAAAGACTAATTGTTGATGTCTGTGTGTTTCTCATTTCTGCCATAGACCAAACATTCTCATTGTAAATGGTGTTTTAAACCTGTTATAAAGTCATTAATTATTGGAGTTTAATTGGTTTTATTTATGTATATTATTTTTTTCTCACTCATAACTAATATAATACTGAATTAGAAAACAAGCAGAACAGGTTGGCTTAGATATCGTAGATAATCTCTTAAGACCAACTCTTTAGTTTTCTTTTGGCTCTTTATGCTATATGTAAAAATAGTGTGATTAACACTAATAACTATAGCAGCTAAGATAATAGACATTATATTGCAAGAGGTTGAAGAGCCCAACTAAAGCAGACTCTGTCCTCCATCATGGTGACTTCATATGAACAACAGAAATTTCATGAAGAGCTTTTGTTCACATGACAGAAATCAAGTCAAAGGTCAGTAATAGGTGAAGCTCCATGATAAGTTGTTTAATGTGATGAGTTGTTTTAAAGATGTTGAAAAATAAAAATTATTGTGTAATTTGTTTTATTTTTATTTATCATTATTTTATTTAGAGTTTTATTCTCAGTTGTATTATTAACTTTATTAAGTTTTTGTGTTTATTAATTTCACTTGGCTTATTTTAGCGTCGTTAAAGCAGTAGCTGAAATATACTCATTCCAACTAGCCTGGTGTACTATTCTGAAGTCTCGTGCACACGCTGCACACTCATGGTCACCACATATCATTGCATTGCTCTCAACAATGCTACAGATCTTGTTCAAAGAATGGCCAAGTTTAAGAGCTAATGAAGGAATGCGGTAGGAGGTTGTCTCTTCATCAAAGCCAGAAACAACTTTAACAGCTGATATGACGTGTTTAAAGTTTGCTGGTATAATGAAGTCTGCCATTGTTCTCAGTGGGGTAATCTTTCTTGCTTAAAGAAGAAGTCTGCTTATTTCTCAAAAATTTTTTGTCTTATGTAATCATGCTTGGTCACATCCAATCCCATCCTGTTGTACATGTGTTCTCCCAGTTGCATGATGCATGAGTCACTTTGAACGGTCTCAGAAACATCATCGTAGTTCATCAGGGAAAGCACTCTCTTTAAACCTTTGCTTATGTAACCCACCTATGAAGTTGATTTATCTGAAAAGGGGAAAATTATCTACTGGGTCTGAGCTTTCCAAATTATATATGATTTACAACACAATTTACTTGGAATCTCGGGTTCGGGATATCTCAACTTAACGACACAATATATTTATAAATGGTGTGGCCAAATTTTACATATTACTCATACTATAATCTCCAACTGCTCAGCCCTTATAAAAACGTACTCAGGTATTCAAAACAAACAAAATTAAATAAATAAAATACAATATGTTCACAGCAATTTTGCCCTTTTTGAAAAAGATAAAAAAATAAAACTATACAGAAGTAGGAAATACAGTTTCAACTGTCTAAACGTCCCAATTTCAGTATATATATATATATATATATATATATATATATGAAAACTTTAAAGTCCTGAATGTAATGTAAAACGTAGTTCAATGAATGTGAATCAGTGTATGTGTTTCTACGAAAATCCTCGACGATTGAGTAATGACATGCGTCCATCCAAATTGACAGTTATCCTCCCGGAGTGAATGCAACGAGCTGCTCCCCTTGCCTGCACAAGTCCAATGCGGCCGAGGCGCGATGGAACAGTCCAGTGTCAGTAAGCTAATGCAGCAAAACAATTTGGGACATGAATTTTATGCAGAATTGGCAGGATGGATTAAATTAGAAGACAGCTAAAACGTGTCACTCCTGTCTTCACCACAAGCGGGCATGCAAGTGACGTCAGTCACACTCTTCACATAACTTCACAACTTCACATAACATTGCTAACTTCAACTAAGAGCATTTTAACAAAACAGTTCACAATATGTTCAAAATATATACATATAAAACAGAATAAAACACATTGAACACAGTAAACTTGTACATTTACATCGATCCATAAACAGTATGCATCATCCATACAATATAACTTAACAAATCGAAAAATAAAATAAATATGCAGGAAATCAGAATGCATATAACTTACCTAATGCAGCAAAACAATTTGGGACATGAATTTTATGCAGAATTGGCAGGATGGACTAAATTAGAAGACAGCCAAAATGTCTCTCCTGTGTTTTTTTTTTTTTATTATTTTTTTTTATGTCTCTCCTGTCTTCACCACAAGTTAGCGTGCAAGTGATGTCAGTCACCCTTGACCTCAATTCCGGTTTTTAGAAATTAACTTTCAAATGTAAATTTATTCATCTATAATTTATTTTACATACCCAAATGTTGTGCATTAGGTAATGTAATAAAATAAAACATAAATACATATATTCTGACAAATAGAAAAAAATAAATTAAGAAACTTTTAATTACATGTCAAAATAAAACAATATTTAATACACAAAAATTTGAGTGGGTTACACTTACTTCAACGCCAACTGGTGTTTTAAAAGCGCAAAGAGATCGAACTCTTTTTCTACCTTGAGGTTCATCAGTAGCAGGTTTCAGGGGACAACTTTTCATGTGTTTCCAAAGGCTGAGTTTACCATTCAGCCCCTGGCAATTAACACAAAGAATGAAGTCTTTTATGTTTTGGTAACACGCAATCATTTGCCCATGCCCTTGTCTTGCCACATTGGTGTTGTGTGCAAAGTTTCCCCTTTTTCAAAGTATGTTTAACTGTACTTGCTATTGCTTGGATTTTTTGGGAAATGCAATAGCCTTTGCA